ATTATTATTATTTGTAATATAAAATTATTATATATTATTATTATAGTACAAATATGAGATTGTATATTTGAGGATGACTTAAATGAATTAATTTGTACAAATTATACTGACAACATACATATACATTTCGGTAGCTTACTCATCAGAACTTCACAGTTAAGCGTGCTTGACCTGGAGTAGTACAGGGATGGGTGACTTTCTGGAAAGTTTTTCAGGAAATGCACAAGTAAGGATAAAACACGCTAAACAATGAAATATCGTGAAATAGAACCCTTGAAAGGCCAAATATGAGAGTTGTTACATTAATAAATTTATTAAAATTAAAAAAAAATTATAATTTTTGACGAAAAATTCGTTCAGGGTAATTTCCCACGGATAAATCCGTGGGAATCCGTGGATAAATCCGTGGGTAATTACCCACGGATAAATCCGTGGGAAAATCCGTCGGAAAGTTACCCACGGATAAAAATCCGTCGGTAAATATTTCAGACGAGCAATTTACCGACGGATTAGTGTCCGTCGGTAATCCGTGGGAAATGCACTATTACCCACGAATTTTTGGCATTTCCCACGGATTTTGACCGTCTGTAATAGCAAATTTTCTTATAGTGTATGGATAATGTATATAAATGATGTGTGTTGAGATAATGCTGAAAATGCTATACACATTAAAACATGTTGATTGATTTAAGACTAAAGGACAAAATGAAAATTAAAAAGTTGAATATACCATGTAGAGAATATTATTGTTGTGGCATTTTGGAAGGTCAGTTGTTGAAAGCACTTATTGAATAAATGTAAAACTCTTGGAGTTGAATCTCCTTTAGGTCCTTAGTCAATGTTGGAGTAAGATATGAAGTTAAGGGCTACAAACATTAATTATTTACTAGAAAAGATATGTGGTTTCTTGATGATACATCTATACTAGTCTTGACGATGGAACCAAACTTTCCTAATATAAGTGACGACACTCGAAAAATTAGAGAATAGAGATTGGTATCCCAATTTAATTGGTGATGTAGTGGGTGCATAAGGCATGAAAATGATTTGGTTAGTTTGGCAGGGTCAAGTCACTTATATTTTTTAAGTGTTTTAGGAGATTTCCTTAAGTGAATGTATGACGACGCATTAATTGTGGTGTAAGCATATGATGTGATATTATTTGATATTGTTCATAAACATTGGGTGAATACCTTGTTGTATGATATGATTGTAGTGAAAGTTTGAAATACTTGGATGTTTAGTTTTTCAAACATGGTATTTTGTTGAATTGGTGAATGTTGTGAACCATGATGTGTTTCTTGTTGGTTTACATGTGGACATTGGTAGTAGTATAAATGTTTTATTCTTATACTTATATCCTTTTTTAAATCTAGTTTATCCTTATATATTTTCTTAGTGATTGGATTGTGATGATTATGATTTTTCATAAGAACATGGTAGGGTTAATCGAAAGTAAATGATGTTATGTGGAGTTATGTTGATGTTGTGTAGCTAGATGCTACTTTTGGAGGGTCTTATATAGATGTACTTAATTGACACCTTGGGTTAAGCTCTTTTATAGTTTCTAGATAACTGTATACATATGTATATATATTGCTATGATAGTTGTGCATGTGTTGTATATATTATAATGTGTTTGGTAGGAACTATTTAAGAATTAATCCTAACTAGTTGATAACTTATTTATTAGTTACTAGTAGGTGATTTTGTAAGTGTATGAACCACAACGATTGTTACAAGAGATGTCACTTATGATAACTACTTTTAATTTCCATTTTTACATAGATCATTTTCTTCCTTATTTCTTTTTTTACAACTTCCAAAAATTATCTTTTTTGGCAAATAACTTTTCATATTTTAATTATTTTTTATTTTAAAATTATAATAATTACTTATAAAAATAATACTTATTTTTATTTATATAAGTACGAAATGTCTTGACAAACTTGTATAATAACTTCGTGTTTTGCATAGATTTCAATATAATTTTAACATAAATAAATTTGATAAATAAAAAAAGAAAAAAGAGAGTGTCACATAAAAATTAATAACATTGCGATGTATAACCGTGCATTATAGTTTGGAATTTGGATGTTGATAGAGAAAAAAAAAATAAAGAAAGAAAGAGAAATAACAAAAGAGAAATATTGTCATTCTTAATTAACATGTGTGAAAATATTTTCTCCTTTTAATTTTAATCTAAGACAAGAAGTAGTAAAAGTTAAAAGTTTGTTTGAAAACATTCTTTAGTTATATTCATTTTTGTTCCTTTATTTTAAGTGGAAACCGGCAACTACCTTACCTTCTCAATTGAACGTTTGGTGCACTTTTTCCGTTTTTTCCACTTCACTTGCATCTTCCGCGACAAACCCTACCCACGAGAGAGTACTGGAATCACCACCTTGTAGGTTCCATTCACATACCCATTAAACCATTTCAACGCATTTTCATAAGCGCGAGGTAAAGGTTTCACCTTTCTCTTACATTTCATCAATCTGTTCCGTTTCCTTCAAATTCTGTGGCAACTTCTATAGAGGGTCTAAAAGTAAATGAGTATCCATAATTTTTTGGTTTTGTTATTTGGTTGAGGAAAATATTTGATACCCGGTGGAATTTGTGTTCCTGAGAATGTGATCATTGGTTTATGATGTTGGTGTTTGTTTCATTTCTTTCATCCTTTTTTCAGGGTTGCCAAAAATATCGTTGTTTGGTCTTTTATCTGGAGCTGAATAGTAATGAAAAGTCACAATAGTTGTTTGCATTCCTTGAGAGATATAAATGTATCTTCTTTTTTTTTTTGGATGGGGGGGGGGGGGGGGTAACTATGTCATTGGTGCAAAGTGTTGGAGATTTCACATCAATATCACCATAAAAGTGTATATAAGTGGGAGCAATCTACACCTTACTAGTTGGTTTTTTGTAAAAGGGTATGTTCAAAATTTACTTTCGTAAGATGATACCATAATCTATTCTAGCGATATTGGGATATTGGGCCTATCATGTGGTGCTATCGAACCACCTGCAAATGTTCATTCCTGCAAATCTCATGCTTGAGATGTGTAGTCCTTGGTGTGAAGGGAGTGTGTTAGAGATCTCAAACCAACTAGTGATATAGCCATAAAAATGTGTATAAGTAGAGAACAATCTTAGTTTACAAGTCGGTCTTGTAAGGTTAAGTTAAGCTTAAAATCCCATTTTTTTTAAGACTAAGTATCCATTGGGAAAACTAATCTTCGTCAGGGAACTTGACTAATCACCTTTAGAAAGGTCTCCCTTCCCAACTACATTTTCTTCATTTACTAGACTTGAACCCAAACCTTAGTTAATGGAATTAAGCTCAGTACTACTTGGATCAGCGACTTGTTCGTAGATATAAATGTATTTGAAAATGTTGTAGATTGTTTTGACATTTAGAGTTTTCAGCATTTCCTTCAGAGAATGTTATTAGATCTCAATTTTCCAGCCTTGGTTTCTAATTTCACTATGAAAAATTAGACTAAGGCATGTCTGCAGTAGTTGCACTAGAATAAGGGGTTCTATTGTTCTTTTGGAGCTAATGTTTTTATTTGTGTACCTTTCTTCTTGTCTAGTTTGTGGTTGAAGAGATGTTGATTGGTCACGCAGATCACACATCGGAGACTAGATCATTCAAGGATCAGATATTTTCAGTTCCTGTGTCTGAATCAGGCGATGATGAAGAGGAAGATTTCTTGGAAGAGATACTATATTCAGCATCCTTTGAAGAGCTTGCAAGCAATAGTGTTAAATATGACACAGTCATATGGCTTGCTATATCATTACTTCTGGTTTTGGCTTGGGGAGTTGGCCTTATTATGTTGCTTTACCTTCCCATCAGGAGATATGTGCTTCAAAAGGACTTGTCTTCCCGCAGATTATATGTTACACATACTGAAGTGGTTTACAAGGTATATATGAATTGTTCTGCACGATTGTGATGTTGCTATATGAGTTTTGATATGGAAAGTGATATTTTGTTCCCTTTCTCCCTTGGTCAAGGTATCAAGGCCTTCTTTTATACCATTTTGGGGGACTGTAACAATTGAGAGGCGCGTACCTCTTTCTCTGGTGATTGATATTATTATTGAACAAGGTACTGATGCTGGCATACCAGAATGTTTTCTTGTGCCCTATTTTAAAATAATTCCATTTACCTTCTTGTTTAGTTTCTATTATTGCAAAGAGTTATGAAGTGTTCTTCCAGCACATGGTTTATATTTTAGTCTGATTGAATGGGCTGATATCAATCCTTTTCTGTACTTTGTATACTTTTTAAATCTAACAATAATAAGCGATGAGATTAGGTTTATATATTTTTGTTGCTGTAGACTAACAGTTTGACCCATCAAAAATTTTCCTCATAAATTTTGAGTTTTATTTCCTTCAAAAATGAAAGGGACATGGAGTTTTGACTGGCTAAAAACTACTCACTAAATACACATAACAAAACACATTTTAGGTTGCGCATAAAACCTTAACTACATGATGTTTGTTATATCTTATACTTTTTCTTTGACTAAATTTCCTCATTTTTTTTTCCAGGTTGCCTGCAGTCTATATATGGTATCCATACTTTTCGAGTTGAAAGCATTGCACATGGAAAAGCTGCTCCTGTAGATGAACTACAAGTTCAGGGGGTTTCTGACCCTTCTCTTTTAAGAAAGGTGAAACAAAATGTGTTTCGTAATATGATTCTTTATATTTTTGGAGACTGAGATTTTAATCTTTTATATCATTCTTTACATTTACACTGTAGGGGTTCTTTTAACATTATACTACTAACTGCTAAGTACTAACAAAGGGGATGTCATCATCTTAAAATGCTTCAATTGTTTTGCAGATGATTATAACAGAGGCTTCAAAGGTTGCGCAAGATGGGGGTAAAAGTGGGAAGCTTGCTGCTCCAAGCACAGATTTGGAAAACATGGCTCCCATGCCAGCCGCAACTGATGGATCATTTGTTTTGAGATCACCATCAAAAAGTTTGAAGGTATGGACCTCCTGTCATGCATTCTGACAAAGAGTCACTTTTAATAACTGAAGGGATTGAATGAATGCAGAAAATGTTTGAACAATTTAATTCTAAGAGCCATACAAAAAAATAACCTGGTCTCTCTCTATATATATATGTGTGTGTGCATGCACACATGGACCATTAGTAAGTTGGTAGTTAGCTGTGTGATCTTGAGCTGGTCTTTGTAAGAAGCATGTTTACGTTTTTATGAAACTATTTGAATAATTAGTTTTGTAGGTTGAGTTGAGTTGAAGGTGATGAGAAGCATTCCTGGCTTCTGAATTTCTTAATATTACATACTTAGCTGCGGTCTATTATCATTTTGGCAACGCAAATTTAAATAGAGCCTCGGAAAGAAAACAGCTGCTTTATCACGGAAGGAAAAATTACATATAGGGAAAATTGTAACTGTTGCTATTCAATTCGGTAAATTTGTTTGGCTGGGTTAACAGTTTAAATCATTATGGCCCATGAAACCTGATCAAAATGTCAGACTGGTCTTTTTATTTGCTTGGCAACTGTAGGACAAATCTCGTCTTGATTTGGTTCTTGAAAGGCACAGAAAGTCCTACCTCCGTCATAATATATAAGAAAGATTCTTTTCACTTTACTGTTTATCCCTTTTCATAAGACTCTTTTCTAATTGTATCGTATTAATTATTTTTTGTCCTATAATACCCTTAAGAAAGATTAAATTAAAAATCCTCAAGGGTAATTTTGGAAAAAAACAGTTAAAAGGGTGTAAAAAGGTATTATACACATGAATAGAGGTAGTAGTTACTTATCTATGCACAAACACGTTTAAAGAAAACAAATCCATGTGCACCTACTAGAAGGGAAAACGAGAGTCAAAACATTTTCAAAATATTGGAGAACAGTATTACAGTCATACTTTTATTTGTTTAATTGCTCGTGTGATCTTATAAAAATTTGGTACAACTTTGGTTTGGTGGTCGATTTGAAAGTTGTTGATAATGATTAGCTTTGAGCCTTTGACAGAAATGAAATTATGACAGTTTTTTTGTTATTCATCATCTTGACATTGACATAAGTATGGTAACTTAAATCATTCTAATATGTTGCTGTTGAAAATCAAGCCACCAATAAGATGGCGATAGTATCAGATGCATTGCTTAAATTTCACCCATGTAAACCTTTATTTTACACTCATCTGCAGATGACAAGCTCGCCCCATACTTCGCTAGAGCGCAGAGTGGGCGGAGGATATCTTCTCAATAAACTTGAAGAAGTCAATAAATCAGTAAAGGTTTGTATCTTCACTTGATAATGCATGGATTCTATGGAAAATCTTCCAATATTTGTCTCTCTCATGTCTCAACTAGTTGACACCTGAATTTCTTTAGGTCCGTTTCCTTGTGATTTCGTTTTCTGTTTTCATTTTTTGTTTTCACTTTTCAATTATAAAATTGCTACCTTGTTTTTAATTTATTTCCTGTTTGTAATAATTTGTACAGGAAACTTGGAATACAATATTTGTCTTTTATGCTTCCTATACAAATCCCTGAAAAAAGGAAACAAATTGAAAATAAGGTGTCCGTATTGTAATTAAAAAATGAAAACAGGGAAATGAAAACACGAGAGGTAGTTTCTTCTTGCTCTATGGCACCAGACCTTAACCGTTTCTTTTGAAATTTTCTGTATTCATTAACCATTTCAAATTTATTTCACTGTCTCATTGGATCTATTTGAGTAAACTTCTCTAGAAACACTTCTAGAAGGGAAAAATAGGAAGGAAAACTAAAAGTAGTTTCTCTATAAACTAAAACTAGCTTATGCATAAGTTAATTTATGTAAGTTTTTTCCTATTGACTTTTCTAAAATCTTATTTTTAACTTATGATTAATTTTACCTTATGGAGAAACTAATTTTGATTTTCCTTGCAAATTTTTTCTCCAATAAGTGCTTTTGGAGAAGTTTATCCAAACTTGTCCATTGAATCAATTTCTGTTATATGCCTCTCTCACAAGTCACCACTGTCATGAGCGATTGTTTGTCGACAGTTACCCAACAGAACGGCACACATAGGAACTGCACTATTTAATTCAGTTTTTTGACTATTTGCATTCATATTAGCTGACTTTTTTTTTTATTATCTGTATTTAATATAACCAGAGACTTGAGATGCTTATTGAGAAGTCGCACGCTTCTTCCTCTGGCAGCTGAAGGTACCATAGTTTAGCACTGCAAGATTTGAATTCAAAGGAGTTTCCAACTTAATAGTACCTTATTTATAACTAAGGAAATAGTAAATAAGGATGATGTGATTATCTTTGTGCTACTGAGTCACTATTATGATTGACTCTAGAGAATCCTGGCTGAGGATTGTAGATGTTTAGTCAGTTTAGAATCTCAAAATGTGATTGCATTATTTGTTTTTATTAGTTTCTTCCATTGTCTGTTATCTGTTTTGAATTTCAATTGTATATAACCCAATTGGTATATTTCTTTGCCAAAAGTCTCTATTTTTTTTCTTCTTCCATATAACTAAATCACCTTAAGCCAGATTCTATATATTCTTTTCAATGGGGGGCTCGCTGCATTTTCCCTTCTATTACTTTCATCTCATCTTGTGTTTATACTAAGCATGATATTGATAATATATATATATAGGATTTGATTCTTTCTTATAAAACTCGTATCCCCACATCATTCACTTCACGTGATGGATACATATGGTAATGGAATACACATTTTTGTACAGATCAAAAACTTTGGATGGAGTAAAACTTAACACTTATACCTCTCTTGTCAAATGGCTTCATTTTTTCGAAATTCAAACCGGTTATAATTGAAAGTGTGGGAATTCGCCCACTCTTGCTGTGAACACTAGTTGACATGGTGTGAGAAAGTACCATATAAATATATTATAGACTTCCAATTCATCCAATTTGTACGTGGAGCCACTGTCATTATACTAAGAATCAGATTATCATATAACATTTTTATAAAGTTGTTTTTCCTTTCATTCTCTTCATAAATTTTCTTTTACGTAAAATCTTGAAATTCTTATTTTCCTCAAAATATTAGTAGATTTATTTTACTCAACTTATGAGCCAAAACATCAAATTTCACTCAAAGATAAACAATCTCAAAATTTATTTCTTTAAACCCTAATATATGGCATTTTATAAAATGGATAAAATTTTAAGAAGTTTTTACCAAATTGTTTTTATTTATTTATAATTATCTTATATCCAATTCCATCATAAACTCAAATACGTGAATAGAAAAATGAGAATTTGAGGGGTTTTTTAGGAAGGAAAAAAATGAACAAGCGGGCCAAGATTTTAAATAATAAAACTAAATCAAAATAACTCTTACCCTAATACGTTTTGTCACTTTTATTTTAAAACATAGGACTTGTTTGACCAATTCTTTTGGTCTAAGAGTTGTATGGTTTGTTCTGATACATGTTTTGGTGGCTACCTGATCTACTTTCACTATTACTATGAATATGGGAATTTGATTTTCTAAGGTACACTACGAACCCTTTTCATTTTATTACATCTACCCTTTTCATTTAATAAACTCAACTATCAATATGATATGTTTGGATGAAAATTTTTACAAATTTAAGAGATTTGAAATTCTTGATATTTGAATTACTTTAATTTCATGATTTATCATTTTTAAAATATTTTATTTGGATAAGTCAATTTAAATTTTAAATTGTTAATTTGGATATGATAATTTAATTTCAGCATGATAAAATTGATTTTAAAAATATATTTATATGTTGAGATTTTTAAATTAAATTTTATAAGAATAAATATTATCCAATTTTTAAGTATTTAATCATTTTAAAAATTAATATTAGATAATATTTAATAATTTTAAAAATATTTTTGAATATCTAATAATTAAAAACATGAAGATATAAGAGATAAGATAAAAATATATAAGTAAAATAAGAAGAAGAAAAAATATGAGGAATTTCAAATTCTTACTTTTTTGGGGGAATTTGAAATTCTACAAATTTTAATTTTTTATTTTTTATTTTTTGAAAAATTTAAAATTTTACTATTATAAGAAATTTTACAAATGTTTAAATTTTAAATTCTTTTAAAATTTTTCATTTACATAAAGTATTTCACCTCAAAAAATTTAAAAATTTTCAAACAAATAAATTACTCAATTTAAATTTTTGTCTACCTTCATCATTAATTTTTAAAATAAAATAAAGTTGTTCGAATCTACTCTGTTTTTTTATTTATAAAAATATAAATGAACATTGTAGTTTTCAAGATAGTGCAGCTCAAATCATTGACAGCCACCTATTGCATGTCATATATGTACGACATTAATCTGTGGTTACAATTAAACGATGAAACTGTTCATTAAATTTCCTTTACAAAAAAGATAGGGACTAACTAAACTATACATAATATTATCCAATACACATCACATAGAGGTTTAAAGAAGAATGGCTTCTTTTGCTACTCTTCATGGCCTTCACAACACCCCTCTTCCACGATCTCAATTCCTAGGCCAAGATCACCACTTCCCTCTCAAGCCACCACCTTCCACAGTGCATCATCACAGAACAACACCACCACGTGCCAAGTTCAACATGTTGGAATTCTTGGGGGGAAGAGGACTGTGCAACGGGGAAAAGGGTCTTCAGCAGGAGCTGAAGAAGCAAGTTGTTGTGGATCCACCACCTTCATCAGAAGAAGTGGCATCAAGTGGAAAAGAGCAAGAAGATGAAGGTGGTGAAGGTGTTAAGGTTCCAGATGATGGTTTTGAGAAAGAAATGATGGGGCTAACTGGGGGGTTTCCTGGGGGTGAGAAAGGGTTGATAAAGTTCATTGAGAAAAACCCTCCTCCAAAACCACCTACTGCTTTAACCATTTCAGTTTTAGAGAAGGCTTTGTGAAAAATCAAAGCAAATCTTCAATTTTTTTTTCTTCTAATCATATTATTGGTCACAGTTACTTTTAGTAGAGTCTCTTTTCTCGATCAGAATTTTTTATATACCGGATTCGAATTTTGATTAAAGAGACTGAGATGACGAGTTGTAGAACATTTCCTATAATATATCTGCCATCATGAATTTTGACAATTCAAACAGTTTTGCTATCTTATCTCCCCATTTTCTCAGAATGTTGTATGGAGAGTTTAATAAATATTAAACTGTTTTCATTTCGATTCATCATAAGTATTTATGCATAGCATCATAACTAACAATTTAATGCTTCTAATCACTTGTGTCTCAATTTCAAAGTCCAAAGTTAAATCGCTTACAAAATTGTTATCTTCTGTTTTTATTATGTTGTTCATCTTGGACATTTTCTTTCTTTTAGTCGAGTAAAGTTACAAGTTAATTCTCATCTCTTCCTCAAGGACCATTGATTTTGGTCAAAATAGCATTCAAAGGATTTTGCTTTTTTCATTGTATAACATCAATTTGGTGTTATTGTCAGCACAGGTTAACTTTTGAATTACTGGAGAATTAATTTTAATGTGAAAAGAGTATATTATACAAGAGAAAAATTAATGTAATAATTTTTCTACGACTAATTTAATTTGCAAAATCTTTCCAAGAACAAAATGGGGATTTATTCTAAATCATAATTATTTTTGGAACAAGATTAATCATAATTTTCTGTTTGAACCATTTGCTCATTCAATTATTGCTGATTAGAATGAATGCCGCATCACTTGAAATGGGGATTGAAAGTTTAAGGCATCTTTGGTCAGTTTTTTTAATCTCCGAAAATAAGAAAATATCTCGCTGATTTTTAAAAGTAAGATGATAAGAAACACAGTTAGTCAATTTTGATGAATCATAGCCACAGAAAAAGAATGTGCCTAACTCAGAACATGTGCTTGATTAAAGGCAGCCACACAATGAAATTGCATCAACATCCTTATTGGAAACAATGTTCTTTCTTTCTGTTTTTTTGTTTATTAATTATGTTAAGTTAAAGAATATATTTTATTGATGATTCATCTCTGCTAGAAAATTTGACCAATTAATTTTAGTATTTTTTTTTAACTACAATATACTTATTCATAAAATTCAACTTTAACACCTTACATGAAAGAATCAAATTCAATTCTGACACTAATGACTTGTTGGTTAAACAGTGTTGTTTTTGGCCAATAAAAAGGGGTCTAATTCCTTCCATTGTTAAGCTTATGAAGAGAATGATGAATTATCATCACTTGCTACTAACGATGCATGAGTTTCAAATGCACAATTTGATCTAGCATGAAGACTTAGGATTTTTGTCTCAAGAAAACTTGATGTGATCATATGAGGGGTTTTTTTTGTGGCTCCCTTAGTCTTGCTATGGGTACGTGTGTGAATGAAATGGAGCAAAGGTAGTTGTCCTGATATGAAGTTCTGGTGTGGAATCTAAATCTCTTGTCTGGAAATTGTCCTTATTCTGTTCACCACAAGTGTGTGTGAAAACGGGTCCTATGTTTATTTTATCTATTTTGTAGGATTGTCCAAGATAAGGGTTATCCACTTATCCCGTGTCTCTGGAATAAAACAAGCTTTTGTTGGATGTGGGTGCAAGTTAGAATTTGTTCAATTTTTAATCTAAAATTGATTACATCTATAGTTAATTACTTAATTTCATAAAATATGATAATTATAGACTATACATGTTTAGTTCAAATATTTGATTTTCATACAGGATATCTTTAACCAATGGTCGAAGATTAACTCTTTTCAAAATATAGAGAAATCACATGGTAGGTTTTGTTTTTCTCAATAAAATTTTTTCATACACCGGATCAAGAATCAAATTTCTCACATCATACTTAAAAGACTTAACCATTTACTATTAAATATGTTGGACCTTGTTGGTTGGTTTTGTCTAAATAAAACATTTAAATTTGGATTTAGTATTTTTATGCTTTTAAGATTTTAAATGTACTTATATTGGATTTTCTATTTATTTGTCACTTTTGCCTAATACTCTTAACTAAATTTAATGTAAAAAATAACAAAGACATCACTAAATAAATGTTTATATAAACTTCTCTATAAATAATTTTTGGAGAAGAAAATAAAATAAAAAAATAAAATATATTTCATTGAAAGTTAAAATTAATTTATATATAAATTAATTTATAAAAACTCTTTTATATTAACTTCTTTAAAATTGATTTTAATTTACAGAAAAGTCAATTATAGTTTATGGACAAATCTTTTTTTTTTTAATTTTCTTATAAGTGTTTACAAAGAAATGTATCAAAATATATCCTAGGAGATATACCATTGTTCAAAGCTCTATTACATCATTTTTTTTTATCAAGATAAAAAATAATAGTGACAACAATGAGAAATTTTCTTTCGATGAATGATTTAGGTGAAATATTATATGTATTGAGACTCAAGATCTATAGAGACAAATCGTTGAAGTTACTTAGCCTTAGTCAAAGAGCATATATTGATATTGACAAAGTGCTTAAACACTTTAATGTGCACTATTTCAAGAGGGGTTTTTTACTTATATCACATGTCGTAAATAACTATCAAAGGGAGAATCCCTTACCCCATTAGATATCAATGACAAGGTAGTGTAACAAGATCAATCACGTTTCACAAGAACAGTCATCACACAATACTCATTGATAAATGTCAATTTTACCTATATGACTTAACTTTTTTGACACTTATTTATCTAGTTTTGGAAGAAATTTGTGTTATGCCTATAAACTATTACAAATTCAAAAGAATTATGTAAATTAGTTAATTTATAAAGAGTTTATGAAAATTTTACTTAAACTCTTGTTTTGTATCTTGTAGGATTCAATGAAGACCTAAAGTCTTAAAAAACTCCAGTTTGCTTGGGTGTTTGGAAAAAGGGTTAAGCCCTTTTGAAAGAGTTAAACCCTTTTAAAAGGGTTAAACTCTTTTGAAAGAGTTGAGCCCTTTTAAAAGGGCTGAGTCATTTCTAAAAGGTTGAGCCCTTTAGAGATAAAGAGTGAGATTTGAAGCAAAGGTTAAATCGTTCAGTCATTTGGAAAGGGTTGAGCAGATTGGCTCTAGAGGGATGCAAAATTTTGGTTTCCTAAGGGCTCAACAGATTCCTAAGGGCTTAACTAATGGAGTTCTTTCACCATGAAGAATTATCCAAACTACTTAGCCGTTTGGGAACAATTGAGCGACTTACTCTCTCTCTTCCATATTTTTATTTTTTTATTTTGTTGAGCCTATATAAGGACTTAGGGGGGAAAACAAAGAAATAACCACAAAGACATGTGCAAAAATCAGAGAGAAAGCAAGAAGTCCAATAATTAACTGGGAATGAGGGTTCTAGGATCTTTTTTTCTTTCTTCTATACCTTCTCCATGTATTTTGGATTAACTCTCATCACCATGAATGAATGATCTTTTCTTTTTGTTGGGGTTGAATGTAATCCATCAAACTCTCATGTACTTCTTTCGATTATATATATATATATATATATATATGTGCGTGTGTGTGTGTGTGATCTATTATTTAGTGTTCTTAATGCTAAGGTGACTTCATCACTCATATTTGATATTTGATTTGGGTTTTGGTTGGAAAAAATTTTCTGAATCTTGTTTTGAAGCAAATCACCTAATAACTCTAAATACTAAGAATAGATTTGGAGTTATTAGTTGAACAAGTTCTCAAACTTAATTCAAGGTTTCTAACTAGATGAACAAACAAATCGCTTATTGAGTTAGACTCCTTGAAATTTCAAAATGTAGGAATTGATTTGGAATGATATTAATGAACTTAATGAACATTGGATGACATAAATCATATGTATGTGGTCTTAGGAGAACATAAGAGTGAAATTGGTGAAACTCAATCCCAACAAATTTACATACTATTATCTTTCAAATTTACTCTACTTTGCTTGTTAGCTTTTATAATTGCAATATTAAAGTGATAAACATCACACTTATAATATTTGTCAATGTTTCTATTTCAAGCTTTTATTAGGATAATAAAAATTATAAATATCTTCTAAGGCCCTGAGGTTTAACAACCCATATTTAATTTTTATACTATAGTAATTTGATGCGTTTACCTCAAAATGTCATTAAAATCATGGTTCACAACAACGTTCATCACACAATATACATTCACACAAGTAGTGCAATGAACATGAACTACAATGTGCATATGCATGTAGTGTTAGTCAAATATATATATATATATATATATATATATATATATATATATAGCCGATTTACATGACTCTCACAGGATCCACACACAACGATTTGTTAATATGCATATGATGCATGTCACACAAGATCCAATACAATATCATGTTATAACAATACATATTCACAACTTATTAATTTGCCATCACATGACCCTTACAAGATTCACGCACAACTATTTGCCAATACCAATACCAATACCATTTAACATCATTTACAACAATCATACCTCACAATATCATAAACACATAACTTGCACATATATTATTCCTTGGAAAAGATAACCAACACACACACAAGACATTATAGCACACAAAAGTCATATGTTCACGGTTAAAATGCACAATGTTTTCAATGTCACCTGATAACACCTCAAGATAGAACCATTATGAAATCATTTAATCATATGTTAACACCTCAATCATAATCATCAAGAGATCAACATCAAACTAAGCATTTATATTAATAACTTAATTAGTCTAATAACATTATCGATATCACACATTAATTCCTTAAGCATCATTATCACCAAAATACCTCAAGCCGGTAGAAATCAACTCACATGATAACTTATTCACAATTATTCTCTCTCATGATTTCTCTTTTCTAAACATTGATATAGGTACCTCAAATTATTCATAAGATTAAACACTTAAATGGTAAAGTCATTCATCATCACCATTAACAAACTACATTTTTATAATTAAATCTTTTATGACCTTATGTGGTCCAAGCGTGATATCTAAAGCTATATACAAGCTATCATGTTGATCTTAATTTTTTTAGAAAATTAACACAATCATTTACAACTTTCATGTTGACCTCAAAAGTTAATTCTGTCATCTATTATTTTTAAAAATAACAAAATTGTGACGTTTCAACCTAAATCTAACAACTTGACCTCCGCTTATTAATTTGATCGTAACATGAATTTTAGGTATTCTTTTTAGGTTATTATAACGATATTGAAAAGCTAACATTTGGGACTCAAATTCATATGAAGACCACAAAACTTGATTTTGATGTTATCACGCTTGACATGACATTTTTTGTGCTTGAGGCGGAGAGGACAAAACCCTCTCTACTGCACCTACACCTAACATGGCTAAGGTCACACCCGATGCGAAGCAATGCAAGAACAACATCAAATGGCACCCAACGTAGCCTATTTGACACCTAACGAGATACCAGTTCGTGAGAAACTTACAAACTATGCAAAAATTACACTTTATGAACCAAAAACCCCAAAACTCCAACTTAATCGATAAAAATCACGATTAAAGCTTGATACTACTCTATTATACCATCAATTACTAAAATCTAACCTCAATTTCATATATTCATGCGATTACATCAATTTTCACTTTGTTTTATAAATCACAAATTCTTAAACATTTCAAGTTACATGAAATTAACTATATATATAATTAAAATATCACATATAACACACATAAAGAGTATAGAACACAAATTCATAAATTGCAAGACAAAATTGAGATTCCTCCCTCATAATATACAAGAATAAGTAAGAGATTGATGATCAATTTCACTAATATGTATCTCATATCCAAAGGGGCACTACTCACTTTTTTCTTACCTCAATGAACAAGACACGAATCTCCGGAGTAATCTTTAACGATCTCTAATTCTTCAAGTTCTTCAAAACATAGAAACATAAATAAGAAGCCTAAAAACATAAAATTGTCATAAATATTAAACAATTATATATACTTAAATAATAAATAACATTACTACAAAACTAATATAATAATAACAATCTAAATTCTAATAGAATGTTATAAGATAAAAAAGTTTAAAAAATTTAGGAAAAAAAATATATTTATATCCATATATTTTAATATTAAGAATATTATTTTTCTATTTTGAATAATTTGATATTTAATATTATTTTAATATTAATTAATTTATTATTATATTTAAGATCTTACTGACTGTTATTATTATTAAATACTTCTATTTTTGTATTTAAAAAAAAAACTCAAACAAGTAATTATGTTATATTAATATATACATCCATACATATTATATCTCTCGAATATAATTTTTTTTATATCTCTTTTAAATAATTATATATAATCTTTTAATATTTTATTATCGGTCCGGTATAAAAATAATAATTTCACAAATAACTGTGTTGTTATGGTACGTAAAAATGATAGTAACCATTATGTTTCAAAATAAAACTGAAAATTAATGAATGGATTGAGTATTGACGAAGCCCGAGAGAGAGCAGCATAAGGCAGTTAGACAGTGTCGCAGCGGATCTCATCTCCAACGAAACGAAACCTTGGTTCCCCTTTCTCTGTCCTCACTCGTGTGCGTGCGTCCCGAGGAGAGTGAGCGAGCGAGCGAGCGAGTAGGGTTTCAAATTCAATCGGAACAAATCCAAATCGGAATCGGAAAAAATGGGAGGAGGCGGCGGCGATCACGGCCACGGCAACGGACACGGAGATTTCAGGAACAAGGTATGGAGCATGACCGGTGGCCCTCATTGTCGTCCCAAGCACTGGAAGCGCAACACTGCCATTGCCATGTTCGGCGTTGTTCTCGTCTGCATCCCCATCGCCATGAAATCCGCTGAACTCGAGGTTCCTATCTCTCTATTCGTCGATCTGTTTCCTCGATTCGATTTAGAAAAGAGGATTTGATTTGATTATTCATGATTATATGTTGATAATTGATTGATTCGATGTGTGGATGTGCAAATTAAAGGTTCGATAAGGCTTCCGCTGATGATGCCGGAGCACCGTAAGCTTATGGTGTTCTCTTTGTTTGTTTGTTGATTAGCTTGTGTGTTTCGGTGTAAACCCTGTGGTGGTACGTGGTGGCTTTGTTGAATTCAATTTTGCAAATGTTGTTGTTTGTTTTCATCGGTTGTTGATTCTGTTGTGCCGAGGGCTCAATCGTGTTATGAATAGCGCCAGACTGTGGTTGGGTTGAGTGGTTTGGATGCTGACCATTATAGGAAATGCTTTGTGCTGTGTTTCTGTGTTGTGGGGATGTTGCGAAATTGCAGCCAAATTGTGGGGATAGCTTAATTATTTCGTGTTAGCACTTTTACCACTCCATTTTCTGTTCAGAGCCAAATTCTGATAGCCTACTGATGCGCCTGGCCGAGCCCATAAATTTGCTTGCCAGATTCAAGTAGTTCATACATTTTGGCCTGATCCAAGAACAAGTGCACGCAGAGCAGGCTTATATTTTGTATTTTTATCTTCTTTTTTCCCAATCTAAAACACTTGGACAACTTGTTATAAGACAATTTATCCTCTGTCAACTTATTATAAGACGTTGATATCCTTTTTTTGGGGGATGGAGGGGATTGATTTCATTGTCTCTTTACCCCCCAACATCTGTTTTGCAGTTCATAAAACGGAGGAGCGATGACAGGGACTTTTTAAACTTTTAACTTAAATATGATATATATGAGACATCTTTTTCCTTCTTTTTTTGTGTTGTGCGATCTGCATACTTCATATTCCATTAATATTTCTGTTGTAGTCCTTCCTTTTTTCCCCCTTTAAACTCCACATCTTCCCATCCCCTCTTTTTTATGTTCATTCTTTTGTTCTCATTGCTCTAATCATTAATTATTGCTTGAAATTAATGGTGAATAGGTATTAGGTTATGGCTTACGGTTATTAATTATGAGCACATATTTAATTGTGTCATTATTTATTTTTAAGTACCTATATTTTTTTTTATCTATCAAAATTACAATGATAGCACCAAAGTTCAAACCTAAGGTCCTATGCATTTAACTCCAATCCCCCAACCACTAGGCCGATCTTAGTAGTTCCTTTTAAGTACTTATATGAGTATAGTATAAATTATAAATTATGTTGTATCATGATCTTTGGTATAGTAGCTATCACACTATCCCCTATGGTGGTTTTGAAGTTTGCCAGGATTGATAAGTAAGGTCTCAATCATAGTAGTCAATAGCGGTTGTAGCGGCCCCAATCGCGGCTCGTTGGAGCAAAGTGGCTCCGTGCCGCTATAGAAAACTTGTTGCAGAGCACTTTAAAGTAGCAACCGCGAAAGCAACAGAGCGTGGCGACGCAATGGTGGGTGGTGGTGGGTTTTTCTCTTACTTCTTCTTTCGGCAGATCTCTAATAGATTTGTCTTCTTTTCCGACGGATCTCTGTAGGTCTGTCTTCTTCTCTGGCAGATTTCTCCAGATCTGTCTTCTTCTTCGATGGCACCAGATCTGTCTTCTCCAGCGTATCATTTTCAGATTTTTCTTCTTCCAAGAGGGGAGGTAGCGATGGCTAATGAGTTAAGGGTTAGAGGCTCGAAGTAAAAAAAAATTAGGGTTGGAAAAGTTGGGTCAAATGGGCCCAAATTTTATTTTCTCTTTTGGTTTGGTTATAGGCCTAGGTAAAGTTTATTTTTACTTCTCTTTTTTTCTTACAGTAACTTATCTTTATTTTTAATTATTATTATAATTCAGATAATATTTTAAGTAATAAAAAATTTAGAGTTCCCTGCAAAGTATATTTGGGGAAGATGGGCAGGTGTGTTTCACTTTTCCATTGAAAATAGCAAAAATCATCTCCCTACATTTTTTTTAGCTTAAATATGTTTTTAGTCCATCAAATTTAGGGGAAATTTGTTTTTGGTTTCTCAAATTTAAAATTGTTGTTTTTAGTTCTTTTAATTTTCAAAAATCTTGTTTTATTTTCTCAGGTCATAAAGAATATATCTTAAAGTGACAAGTTGAGATAGTTATACAATATCAATTGGATTTAATGTGATGTTTTCACTAACAAAGACATTAGTAGCTAGATTTTATGTGACAGTATATGACAGATTCTCTAACAAAATTGAGTATAAGGACTAAAATAAGATTTTTTGAAATTTTGGAGACCAAAAAGACTAATTTTAAATTTGAGGGACTGAAAACATATTTAAATCTTTTTTCATAAAAAGGAAACAAATTGTTAACTCTTTTTTTTATTTTTTTATTTTTCTGTTGGTGATTCTACCAGGTGTTACCAATCCTGGATAGGTAATTAGATACTGTTGGATGGAAAATTGGAGTGGAACAAGGCCTTGTTCTGGGCAGGGATTGTGTGTATCGGTGTTGTGCTACAATGATTGCACTATTCCGAAAGAGTTCCCTGCAAAATAAATTTGGGGGAGATGGGCAGTTGTGTTTCACTTTGCCATTGAAAATAACAACAATCATCCCCCCTACATTTTTTTTTTGTTGCATAAAAGGAAACACACTGTCAATTTTATTTTTGTCTGTGAGTGATTCTACTCAGTGTTACCTATCCTGGATAGGTAATTAGACTCTTATTCCTGTGTGGCCTGTGAAGCTGCAGAGTTTGAATCAATTCTAAATAGTTTTGGATGGAAAACTGGAGTGGAACAAGCCTTGTTCTGGGCAGGGATTGTGTGTATCGGTGTTGTGCTACAATCATTGCACTATTCCGAAAGAGTTCCCTGCAAAATAAACTTGGGGAAGATGGGTAGTTGTGTTTCACTTTGCTGTTGAAAATAACAACAATCATCTCCCCTACATTATTTTTTTCATAAAGGAAACAAATTGTCAAAAAAATAAAAATTCCGATGGTGATTCTACTCAGTGTTACCCTATCCTGGATAGCAATGCACATTCACAACGGCCCTCCCCAAAAACACTATTGCGGGATAGGATGTCTGCTATTCTGAATCTTTTTACAGTGTATATAATGTATACTATAAATATATGCATATATAAATCTAAAAATTGATAAAATTAATCAAAATTTATGACATTCATCATTACTGGTCTTCTTGGCCACAGGTGAAGAGGCCACACTTGATGATGGTAGAGGCCTTTTCCAACTCTGGATATTCATAATTTCCTGCTCTTGTATCTCATCTTACTGATTCAACCTTTTCAAGTTGTTGTTCTTTTTCGTGAAATGTAAGGGGGAGGGTCATTCTTGGTGCAACATTAAGGTTGCTGCCTTATGTTTAGTACACTAGGGTTAGCCTAGTGGTGGTTGGGGGTTTGGATAGTTTATTCAGAATCTTAGATTCAAACCTCATTGCCTTGCCACTATTGTATACCAAAAACAAACATTGAGGTTGCTGCCTTGTGACTTCAAAATTACAAACTCTCATCCTAGAATCAGCCTCTCCGCATGCAGGAGTAAGGCTACACACACATGTAATCTCATGCTCCACTAGGTGGGAGCCTCATGCCCAGGGTTTGAACTTTGAATGCATGCCAGAATTATTATAATTTTTTAGAGTTTTATTACATTTTCTCGTTGTAATTTTACCTTGACTGTATGGATTGACTGAGTTTATTTTTTGATCTTTCAGCAACGACCACATCACCCTGTTCGCCCCATCCCTTCTCAAATCTGGTGCAAGAACTTTGGAACTAAAGACTATGAATAATCCAGGATCATCAGTTGCATCACTGGTTTGGGTGTTCACATCTTTTCAAACAAAATTTATTTGTTAAGTGGAGTACGAGCAGCTTTAAAGAGTTGCTGTTGTTAATGTTATGCAGGACTTGGATATAGGATCATTTAGTGACATCCTTTTTTTCTTTTTTGCTACATTTGATGGACATCCATTTTAGAAATGATGAAATTAAATAAGTGCCTATTTGTGGAATTTTTATCTGAAGGCTTGTTGAAACCGGTATTTCTGGTTACTATAATAATGGTAATCGATGCTTTTATGAATTTTTGTCTGTATCATTTGTTTTTTGCAAACCACCGTCACCCCCTACCACACACTCATGCGCACAGGGTAGGTATGGCAAAAATACCCGCACTCACAGATATCTGTGGATAAAATTCGCTACGGATAATAAATGGATAGACTTAATTGTGGAGACGGATAATTTTTTACCCATTTATAAATGGGGCGGGAACGGGTATGATAATATATCCATACATGCAGGTACCTGTTTAATATTATTTCTTAAATATCTTAATTATCCTTGTATCACATAATCCTAAAACTATATTCTCTCATCTTATTTTCTTACAAAAGTGAGGTTGATGAAGTTACCGACATGTGTTAAGCATATTATAAAATTATGTTAGATGTAATTTGATTAATTTTCTAGCTTTGATTGGATCAATAAGATTTATGTATTTTAAGTTGTTTACTTTCATTTGAAATTATGAGATTGAATTATTGTAGTTTTGTGATGAGACTTTAACTTAATTGTGAGATTGATATATTTTAAGTTATTGATTATCATGAATTTTTATTATTATTTCAACAAAATTAACGTTAAATAAAAGTTTAAAATTAACATTAAATTTTTATTTTTAATATTTTAATGACATTAAAATATAAACTTAAAATTATTTATAATATAATTTTTTTAATTTCTTAAAAATTTTATAAATATTCATGGATATATGTGAATATTCGTGAATATTCAAGAAATTCATGGATACCCACTTAATGGATACTCGCTCGGATATGAGGTGGGTATGGGGTTAATTTTTATTCAGCGGGACAAGGGCGAGTTTACTATTACCCACTTCCATGGGACCCCATTGTCATCCCTAGTACATGGGAAAGAAATAGCCATGCTAAGTATAACGTACTGGCGTTGTGTTGATAAGTTTCACAAATCTTAAATGGTGTTTGATTAACTTTTAGAGGCAACTGTTATTTTCTTAACTAAATTATATATTGAAAACGTATTTTCATAACTATACGAGGCACTTAAAGTCCTGAACAATCTAGGTTATTCTATTAGGCCAAAGTTAACGATGGGAGCAGAATGTAATTCCAATGGGAATATGTGAAAAGATTGAGGGTAAGCATCACTACTCAATTATATACTTTCATTAGCACTGCTTAAATGGAGAAATTAATGGATGGTTTTGACTAGTTTTTATATGAAATGTAATAGTGTTATTAATTATTTTTTTGTTAGTTGAAAGACTTAAAATAGCATGTCATATAGTGCTTGGTTGAGATTACAGTAACTTGATAGTCTTAAATTATCCAATAATTTCTTTTTTTTCAAAAGGCATGTGTTCTAATATGCTTTGAGAAAATATGCCTAGTCGCCAACCGATCGAATGGAAGTTCGAAAATAATGGAATGAACAGTTTTGGTTCCAAAATTTAGAAGGATCAATCTATGACCGTTCACGTCTAAATGGAATCAAATTCTTTGATTTCAGCCGAAATCTTTCTGTTGGACGTAGTTTTGTCATTTTCTTCATATTATTTTTCCTCTTATTAAACTTATCCAAGTAGATAAGAGTCAAGACCCTCTTAATTCACAAGACTTGAATTTAACATCTTAATCGAACTATTTTCCACTTGAACCGCCAAACATTGATGTTCTCATCCTAATATGGAAAAGAAAAAAAATGGGTTTTATTCTGTTGAGTGAATTTTATCAAGTTGAAAAGGAACATGAGGAATGTATTCCGATAACAAATATTGTTGTCAGTGTGGTTTTGAGAGAACAGTGGTTTGCATGTGTTTTAGGGTACTTGTTTCAGAAGACGGTATTATTGGCCATCTAATGTGGACACGGCATATTCTTCATCTGTTCAAAGTTTTACTCTCATTCCCACTCTTTTAATCTGTCAAAGTTTACCAAAAGGACAGATATTATTACTAATCAAATAAAAGGGAAAAAATGAGACGATATTTTGGAACAAAAGACAGCCACCTCTTCGTCATGGATAAAATATCATATGATCCATTCACATTTAAAACTGTGTTTAAGAGATTATTTTGATAATTAATCATAATCATAATGAGTTTTTGTTTATTTAAATTTGTTTTAAATGATTTCAAGGCATTTAATTCCTCTAGATAAGTAAAGAAAAACAAGTTTTAATTTAACATAGTATAAAGGTGGCAGAAAAAAGTAGCTAAACAAAAATAATAATATTCTATTATTAAAAAAGTTAAAAATATATTTTGTAATAACTATCATTCTCTTTTAATAATTACCCACTCTATTATTTTTATTATTTAATATCAAATTTATTTTATTTTTAATTTTTAAATAAAATATAAAAATACGAAATCCCTCAACCTTATTATTAATATATATATAATGGGAGGAATTTTATACAAGACTGTGAATGATATCAATGTCATTATATTGTAAATTCAATGATCCATAACAAGTTATTTTATTTTATTTTTTTAATTTTTTTAATTTTGTTATTTATTTTTCTTTAACAACAAATATTGAAAAACGCTTTTCATCAAATTGCAGAAGATGTACATAAATGAATTTAAAACAATTTAAATGCTAATGTACTTTAAGGATGATAGAGAACTGTGAACAACAATACAAGAAAGTGATTATCAAACTAAATCCACACGAGCTTGTATTGGTCGTTTAAATGGTTTTATTTATTTTTCTTCTTCTTCTGTATCACTAACATTCGAATATTACATTCAATATTTAATGTTTTCGTATTGAATTAGGTAATATCATAATGAATAAGTGACAAATGAAATATTAGTATCTTTCTAATGATAAAAATTATTTAGTGATAAAAAAATAAAATAAAACAATGAGTGACAATATTTCATTTATTATATCATTTGAAATCAATATTAATAAAACAAAATCAATAAATATCTTATTTTTGTAAATTTTATACTCTGAAGACAAAATCAATTTAAGCAATCCCCATGGGCTAAATGTCAATTTAGCTACCCTTTAAAATTATTTTTCTTTACCGTGAAATATTTTAATATAATATTTGTTGTTGAGATTAATTTATACATATATTTCAATTATGTTAAACAGTTCGAAATAAATTTTATCAAAATCAATTGTATTCAACTTTTTAAAACATTAATGGTTCTTGCTGAAGAGGCCTTCACATTCTTAGACTAATTTCTTCCATATTGTATCCAGTAAAGAGATTGTGAGGGACAAGTATTAAAATTAATATTTTTCATGTATTTGTCACTTTTTGATCAAGTCAACTTGTTGTGGTGATGTGTCATTTTTTCCTTATTGCGGGAGATAATTATAAAAAATTAATGAATATTTTTCATGTATATGTTATTATTTTCATTCAGTCAACTTCTTGTGATGATGGCGTGTCATTTTTTTTCCTTCCATATTGTTTTCGATAAAGAGATTGAGAGTGACAATTATAAAAATTAACATTTTTCATGTATTTGTCATTATTCTGTAAAAGAAAAAAAGTGCATTTGTCATTATTATTTTAAAAAATGTCAACTTATTGGGTTGGTGATGTGCTTTTTTTTTAAGTGATCAATTTAGCATGTATTTAATATTTATTTTCTAACGCAACTTTTTCTTCGTCCAAATTTGAATTTACGTAGAAGTTAATATTTATCACTTCAAGTTAGATGTGCAAACACACACTTAATGTTTCAAAGGTATATATATTACCATATTAATTTTTTTATTTATTTTAAATCTGGTCATTAAATAATTGATCTCTAAGAATTTTTTCACTATTTCATTCCTTTAATATTTTTATCACAATATTAATTCTTTAAATATTTACTTTCTCACTAAATTATTTTACAAAATTATATATATATATATATATATATATATATATATTATTTCTTATTAGTAAAAAAAAAAA